AATCCGTGAAACAACAATAGTGCTAGTCAAAACCATKGAAAACGTTCAAAAACGTAAATAACAAAATTTGAGCGCAATTTGCACTTCGTAAGTGTGAATGTACTCAGACATTAACCATTTCATGCCATTTTGCCATGATTTTTTTTAAACACTTGCTGGTCAGTATGTCTGATTATGACCGGATTAGTGAAAATTAGCCATTATATATCTAATTGTGCGTTTTCAAAAGGTTTTCAGAACTAGGACACGAGTAAAGTTTTTCGTGTCGCCTATGTTTGTGGAAAAAATACCCTTGAGTAGATAGTATATAGTCTTCCCCTAGAGCCTGACGGGAGTTATATTAATGCTAAACAAAAACAACAGAGATTCACAATATCACGCCCGCTTAGTACTGAGTTTTACGTTAATTAAAGACTGATATTGCCATTGATCGTCAATTCTCAAAAAAAAAAAAAAACATTTTTACTTACCAGAATACAAAGAATATCCATGTATGTTAATTCAGTTTTAGGATTTTGGTCTTTGTATCAGAATTCGTTAAAAGATCACATTTTAAAATCACCGGTGTTATCACTATGGAAGACTTTGTAAATCGTTTCTTTGGAGTGGCACTATTTTTTTCTTGGGCAAGCGATCATTATTGTGAAYCAGACGAATGGCTCCTGTGTGTCTTTGCAGGCCTTTTAAAATGAATAACAATGAATAACTTGTCTTGTTTTGAAATACACTCGCTTGCCACCGGGCAGARAAAAAGTTTGCCACCAAATAGTGCCACCTTGGTTGCCACCGTGACAGTGACACAATCCATTAGTTGACAGACGTCGGGATCCCTGTGCTTTCTTTGAACCCAAGCCCTCTCACGATACCACGTCGAAGAGGTCTGAGTCCACCAAGTCAGCCATATTGAATTTTGGAATTGACTTCCAAAAACATCAATATTTATTCGTAAAGCTGTGAGAATACTCCTCCGAGATGCCGCTACCGGCTAGAGGGGCAAGGCAAAATGAGGTTTGCAAAATAATTTTCTTTATTTTTGATTTTCGGTAGCAAGAAATCTCCATACTTCTTTGGTTGTACTCGACAAGATTGTCGATATATAAGTACATGCATTGTGTATTTGCAGCCTGTAGAGCCAATGCAAATTGATATAGCACCTGAAGTAGACCAACAAGCTGTCGAAGATAACTTCATCATAGAAGCCGCTACMATTGTAAGTTTTTSAATACTTGTCAAATATTTTTACAAAAATCTGACACATCTGTTRCACTTTCAATAAATKAKCTTACAAGTAAGCTAACATAWGGTTGTAGAATACGGTTATGTTGGCTCTGTTATGTTTTTCAGATGGCACAAATTTTTCATACWTTCATTTTTCATTTACATGATTCATTTTCATTCATTTTAAGGACATCTTTCATTTTCTTTTTAGGATCTTGATGTKTATGCTTCTAACTATGTTGGTTTAACCAAGTTAAACCGGCTTTTATTTGTGGCAAAGCATTGCCCTGCTTTAGAAATAGATGCATTAAGGTAAGGTGCTGAATCTATCATGTGCTGTATGCTCCATTGCACTGTTTCCATTGCCGTCTTGAAAGGGACTYACAGCTATGCTTTTGCATGCATTTGACAAATTGTACAAGGTGCAAAAAGGTTTCTCTCATTTAATACAAGCTCAACTGCTCTCTTACTTTTATACAAAGGCATGGCTACTTTTCAAGATGGCACAGGTTACACTGAAAAATGGAGTTTTGAACAGAAAATAAGAGCAGTAAATCATTTTTTAGACATCYCTATCTCATAAGTATTGAATTCTTCATGTAATATTTGACAAATGAAACAATTGAAAACCTTTGATGTAAATATGAATTGAATGAAAAATACAAGTCATTTACTACAGTAAATAAAATAGTATTTAAGCTTTTAATCTGACAAATTATTGATTCTTATACATAAACTAAGTAAATGATATTAAATGATTTTTTAATTATATTTGTTTAATTATAGAATAGCATTAAACTATGTCAAACATACATTTAATGTCCAACTGTATCAAGAAATCGTTCAACGACTWATAGAGGCTTGGTAAGAATGTATTTTCCTTTGCCTTGAGTTTATTAGCAACTATCGATGTAATATTTTATTTATGTCCTTATAACTAGTAACCGACATGGCGATATTGAACCACCAGCAGTCGAAACAACCTGGGTTGARACTACAAGTAAAAAGTCTGCATTAAAGGTATGTTAATTCATTCTTGAAGTGAAGAAATTTCTCATCAGTGTTGACTGAGCAAAAGTATTTATTTATCATTTTTTCAGCTTGAAAAACTCGACACAGACTTGAAAAATTGTAAGACTAACTCCATCAAGGAAAGTGTTAGGTAATAAAAACAACAATGTACCATCATCCTCATATTTATAAGAATTTTCATCATTGTATAAATTCTTATGGTTTTCCACAGGCGTGGCCATGACGACCTCGGTGATCACTATTTTGAATGTGGAGAYTTAAAGTAAGTTCACTTGAAGTAGCCTTTTCTCATGTGCATGTTTGAAGAATATCCATTAAATTTAGTTTTTTTTTTTCCAGTAATGCACTAAAATGTTATTCCCGAGCACGAGATTACTGCACWACTACCAAACATGTTGTGAACATGTGCTGGAATGTGATTAAGGTACCTTGTGTACAGTATGTGTGTTGTATCAATAGGCAATGTGCAGCAATGCCATTTTGTAGAACAAAGCTTGATGGCAGTTATAGTCTTCACATTTTTTTTTACTTGGTTTTCTCTAGGTCAGCATTCATATGGGTAACTGGGCTCATGTTTTAAACTACGTCAACAAAGCCGAAAACACAACAGAAATAGCTGAGGTATGCAGTCCAAGTTTCAATTTCAAAGCTATTTCCTTTTCGAAAGGCTGTTGTGATTAAAAAGAAACATGTCATGTTATGCTTCCTCTTAATTTTTAATGAAATATAATGAAAACAAGAAAGAGGAAGAAAGTTTTGCTTAAATAACTTACATTATTACTTCAATGATACTTAATGYCAGAACTCAACACTTTGTGTAAATTTATATTTCTTTTGCAGAAAGACAAAAGTGCTGTTCGTAACATGTCAACGTTGACCAAACTCAAATGTGCTGCAGGTAAGTGTACTCWTTTTGGGTTCCCTGTGTACACAGGGTTACTTATTTRATATGGTGCATTTGTTTAGGTCTGGCAGAGCTTGCATCAAAGAAGTACAAGTCTGCTGCCCGCTACTTCCTGCAGGCTCAGTTTGATAACACAGACTGCCCAGAGGTAAAGATCACTTGATATTCTCTACAATGTTTAGTATTTCGCTAATAGCAGTATCTATTTTATTCAGCTTCTTTCAGCCAGTAATGTAGCAATATATGGTGGTCTTTGTGCTCTAGCTTCTTTTGACCGACAAGAATTGCAAAAAAAGGTTTTATCAAGCAGGTAAAACTATTCAAATTTAGCTTTTAAAGTTTTGCTTTACTTTTATAAATGCTTGTGCTAAGTTGTCGTTGCAGTCAACTCATGTTGGGCTTCCTGTCCCCCACAAACGAGGAAGCCTKGAGCAAAACCCATTCAATTTTAAATCATTTTTTTTTATCAAATTCTATTTCAGTTCATTCAAGTTGTTTCTGGAGCTTGAACCTCAACTACGCGATGTTCTTTACAAGTTCCACGAGTCACAGTACGCAATGTGTTTAAAACTACTGGATGACATGAAGGTRAGATGATTACTAGCACAAACARCAATGATAAAAGTAATACTRACAGATGCTTTTGATGTTTTCAAGGATAATTTCATGCTGGATATATACCTAGCTCCCCACGTCAATACGCTGTACAGCCAGATCCGTAAAAGAGCCTTAGTRCAGGTACGTAACATACGCGGTGATTAAATCATTAACCGTTGATGAATGATGATGATGATGATGATAATGACCAAGTTGTTGTAACATCGACTATCGTACCACTGGCGAACAAATGTATAGTCATTCCCTAGCCTGTGTGGCTGGTTCTTATAGTAGGGGAGGGGACTTCCCCCTTTTTCTCCCCCTCCTTGAAAGAGATAGCTATGCATGCTGGTCATGCCGATTAAGAAATTATGAGTGGGTGGAAACTTTACATATAGTAAAGCGTGACCCAATTAGTTCTGTCAAGAAGAGATCGCAAATATGGCTTGAATGTCAGTATTTCTCGTTATATGAAAAAGACAAATAATTTATCAATTTTTGCAGTACTTCAGTCCTTACTTGTCAGCGGACATGAGTAAAATGGCACGCGCTTTCAATACGTCAGTGTCACGTTTGGAGGATGAGTTGTCTCAGCTGATACTTGATGAACAGATCAATGCAAGAATTGATTCACATAATAAGGTGAGATAGCTTGTGAGATCTCTGATATTTGATGGGAGTCACCTATACAATGTCTTAATAAATTATTACAACATAAGCTGGAAGTGAATGGAAAACAATAGAAAACAAAGGAATGGGAACGAGTTATAAGAACTCTGCGATACTAGCAAATATCTAGGGATTCCCTTCACCTGTGAATTCAAGAAAAATTTCTTGTCTGTAGAAAAACGACATTGGCTTGCTTCTATGTTAAATTCAATAAGAATATTTTTCAATTCCTACTTCCGGTTTATGTCGTAACTATATATTGCTAAACGCCTAATATGGTATTTTGATTGACAGGTACTATATGCCCGTGAGGTCGATCAYAGAAGTTCGACGTTTTCCAAGGCGTTAGAGATGGGAAAAGATTACCGCAAACGGACCAAAGCACTCGTCTTACGCGCCGCTATTTTACGTAACCAGATCGTAGTCAAGGTAAACGGGGTATTTTTAGGGGGGTGGGAGAGGAGGGAGCAGGGGTAAAAAATAAGATGTGGCAAAAATTGGCGAAAAACTGAGGGGGAGGGAGATACCACCTCAGAAAGCACATACTACAACCATGAGTGATATCGTTGTAAACGGACATCAACGTTTTTGTATTGTTCTACATCCTCAAGAGAATGCAAACAAAAACTTCCACAAAGTGGAGATGTACGCAAAATGCTATGGCCGTTTTTTCACCAGAGACGAAATTTTTGTCTGTGGGTAAGAATTCGTCTGTCAGGTTTTTTGTCTGATTTGCATTCAAGAAGGAAAACTCTAATTCCCTTACTCATCAGTCCTGATTTCCGTCACGTTGGGCGGTGAGCAGGGTGGGTGAGACCAAGGCAAAAAAAAAAAAACAACAAAAACAAAAAACAAAGAAAAAACAAAAACAAACAAAAAAAAAAACGTTGGGGAGGTTTCTCCCAAACTGGTCAAAATAGATCCTATCAGGATTTTGCAACGCTTGCCCTACTAACCTGACAGGCCCCATTAAAGCTCTTAATGAGGATTTCCTCAGTTTGGGAAGAAGCTATGTGACTTACACATATTACAGATTCCTCACTATGACGTCACATAGCATCATTATGACGTCATAGCAATCTTTTGTTTTTAAAGCAGAAGAATCTTGAGCGAATATTTGCACAGTTCCTACTGTCAGATTTCTAATTAAAAAAAAAGATTTATTAATTTGGGCATTAAAGTGGGATACGGGCTTTCTGTACCCCCTTTAAACACKCCCGTGCGAACAAACCTTCCCAAMAATTCGCGACACTTTACTAAAAGTGTTGTGTTTCTTTAGAGTCCTCCWAGRGACAGCACTAGTACTGATGTGGGTGTGGCATCAGGGACACGGTGACTGCCAGACTGGAGTAAATCTGTAATCTCATTGGAGAAGACCGAGTAAATGCGGAGAGATTTAGCCTACAGGAGACCGTCAATACCGTCTTATATTGTCGCAAAACTGATTCAKTAAGCCCAGAACTTGTTCACACTACCTTTTCGTGGTGTTTTCAGACGTCGAATGTCACTTGTGCCCAATTTWCTGCRCATGTATTTTCAAAATTTGCTTTGAATTCGAAACACGTGAGATTCGAGTCTCATTCAGGCTGTAATCACGAAATACATTGCTAAAGCTCTCTTACCGAGAGACGTTTTTAGCGCAGTTGAGTTAAAACGATATTTAGGTTAAAAAGAAAMTTTTCCTCACACAAACTTTACCATTCTTGTCGAAACTGATGCTCACTTACCAAGCATTGCAGTTTTTTCGATGTGTARATGTAAAGCTATGGAGGAATAAACCTGGCGAAGTCTCTTGTTGTTTTTCTCCTGACTATTTTTTAGCTAAACAAATACTCAATATTTCATGTGGTAGAATCGTCTGGTTAATTATTAACTACTCAAAGTTGTAAGATTCCATGTTGAAAAAAAAACCCATCTAACTTTCCGTTCATGTTATTGTGATTTTATTGTGGTTTGTTAGATGGGAAAAAAGTACCACTTTTGTAATGCCGAGAAATCCCGGAGATTTTCGGGATTCACTCAACACCCCAAAACTTGTCACGGAACCGCAATGTTGATGTTCAGGTTTGGCGTCAATGATTCTCGTTTTGTTTCGTCAAAGAAAAAGAAAAAGAACCAGAAATTCAAAACTAAACAAAGAGGGGGAGAGAGGGAGGGGAGAAAAACAAAAACAAACAAACAAAAAAAAAACAACAACGAAAAAAACAACAAAAAAACAATAAACAGGTCATAAAAATGAGAAACACTTAAAAGCTTGAAAGCTAAACGTCAATAGCAACAAAGTTACGTGACAAGTTGAGTTTTTCTTTATAATTCTTGGCCTTTAGTCCGTATAAAACCAGGTTTTCTTTGTGTGTAAGCATTAACCAGATTTACTAGAACGTCGAATCTCGTATGTACCGAGTTGTCAAATGAGATCAATTGCCCGATTTCATACCGTGGGAGACTGGGCACAATGGTGAAATAGAACGAAAGTTCGCACTGTAAATGAGAAACTCACAAAGTTTGCTGTTAATCGGATCAAATTTAAACGATTGGCAGCTTTTCAAAAACTCTAGATTTTACAAAAAGAAATGTATAGGAATTTAGAATGAAGCGATGTTATCCCGAATTACATTTAAATGCACACACGCACTTCCAGGCGATAGCATGGTGGCTTGAGCCTCGTTTCGAGGCACTAGCCACAAAAATCATAACCTCGTTCCCAGGCTCTTATCCCTTCGCTTGGGGTCGGGCGGGAGCTGAAGAAACAAGGGATTAGAGGAAATTGGATTGGATAATTCGGCACGTGTTGGATCCTGCGTCTTGTACTCCGCTTTGCCTCAAATAACATAATTATTCCGTTTTCGGTGAGAACACTCGAAGATAAGACAGATATGACAAATCTCTCCTAAGCCCGAAAAAAATCCTTTAAATCGGCATTTTCGTCTATGTAAATCTTCAAAAACGTTGGTAAACAAGTGAAAAAATGGGTAAAGAAGTGAAAGGGGAAATACCCAAAATACAGTCATAAAAAATATATAAGATTCTGGTTATAACGCTTAAAGATGAATGTATATTCTGTATGGTAATACATTTTGATTGCAGCTCATGAAATTGCTGATTCGACGAACACTAGCAGTCGAGTCTGTTCGCCATAATACAGCGAAAAGCAAATGTCTAGACCATTCATTTTTAAAACATCGTCTTCACCTTCACTACTAAGATAAATTGATAATTCCACAAAATTGCAAACTGCACTCAAGGCCTTTCAATTTTTAAATRGTTTTATTGTTGTTTTGAATTAAATAGGATCATGTTTTTTTCCCGTAAGATCAGGCAGGTAATCTCTCGTTTGCTACTAAACAAGCTCATCGTCCTTAATGTATCAGATATACATACATGTAATGCTGACAAAGAGAGTTTTACTTCAGGGATTTTAGAATTTAAGCCACTACGAGACAAAAACATCCAGGCCAAAACATCCGCTTGCAAAATTACTTAAACGTTTTTTTTTAGTGTTATTATTGTCAGCGAGGATTAGTGTTATGCATAAATTGACCATCTTTATGGCAATAAAGCTTTAGCCATTGTTGTCTTAAGAGAATTTGGAAATGCAAATGTAGCAAGGTGTGAAGAGACCACAGGGTAAAGTTGCGTAAAAACTGTTCGACTAGCGGGAGGTTGTGTTAAAGTTAAAAGACGATTCTTTTTAGTTAAAGTTACTATATAACTGGGTTTGGTTGTAAAAGACAGTAGATTCTTCGGTAAGTATAACCAAGTATTACTAATTGCTGTTTTCAGAGGAAGTGTTAAAGTAAATTGCTGTGGTAATGGAGTGCGTTGGCTTTGATTTCTTTTCGCATCAGTAGCAGGTCTGTGTGCTTGCTGTTCTTGTTAACCAAGTATTTTTTGTCATTTTCTTTGCGGAGTAAAACACCAGGGAAGTCAGAACCATTTCTTCAACCGGCTTGATCCATGTGCTAATATTAATAACTAAGTTGTTGAGCAATGTATTTTCAAGATCAAAGCTTCTGTGTTGATTCAGTCGGTACTGTACTAACACTCGTTCGGAACAGGTCGAATCTGATGCACTGCTACCTCAACACTGCATTTGATTTGATTACCAAGCTGCTAGTCAAAACTACAGTGCAAATTACAAAGCCGCAAATCTATCTTATTATTAGTAGATTTAATATTTTTATGTTTTCTTTTTAACTGAGATAAAATCACAAACTATATATATCTTGATGGTAAGAAAATTCTAACCAATGTCGATCAAAAGTGATATTCATTTCATGATATTCTTTAAGAGACAGAGCAAGGTTACAGAGATCTTATATWCTTATTAATAAATCATAATTTTCATAARAAATCACCCAAATACAAAAACATAAACATAACTGTAAAAATCAACATAAAATAATAGATCTTTGCATGGGAAAATATCTAAACTACATGCTGWGACCGTCATTTTAACTCAGCTGTTCGTCGGCTTTGACTATTACCAAACTTCTCTTTTTCTAAACACTTTTAATATGCGGAAAGACTTTTAAAACAAGATAGATACAAGCTAGTTAAATTGCTGCTGTGAAATATTACAAGGACCACAAGTGGTGCCATTGAAATACGGAAGACAAATACGTTACTTACTAGTAAAAATTTCGTGATAGTTTTTCGTTTTGTTAAGTTTTTACGTCATGCTAGCGTAATTGTTACRGGYTTCAAATGCCATTTACGTCATAAGCTACACGCAGCCCTAACGAAGCTAATATCGTGGCTAATTTTGTAACAAAAGCATCCTTAGTTTTTTTTTCGTTTGAATTTTTTTCCGGTTGCAATTTACTAAATTGAAAGTGGATCCCTAAGGGCTGCGTTTAAGATAAAGCGACCAGTTCGGAAACTAAACTGGCAGATCGATCGTTGAAATTTCGGATCTAACTGACCGCATTCAATGATAAAGCGACCAGTTCGGAAACATGAACAGGCACATCGATCGTTGTCGGATCTAACTGACCGTATTCAAAGATAAAGCGACCAGTTCGGAAACATGAACAGGCACATAGATCGTTGTCGGATCTAACTGACCGTATTCAAAGATAAAGCGACCAGTTCCGAAACGTGAACAGGCACATCGATCGTTGAAAATGCCTGATCTAACCGACCGTATTCAAAACCTGCATCCGCGCTGATCTTATGATTTATATTCCATTATTGAAGGCGACGACTTCCAATCCAGTCTGGCATTCATCCAGAGTGACATTAGGTATATCTATATGGAGGAAAACGCCTTTTTGCTATCAAAGAAAATGCTTTTAAGGCCAAAGAATTTTGTTTAATTGTTCGTTTCGTTGGACTTGATCGAGCACATGTCAGCATTGATGAAAGCTTTGATTGAGTTTGCTTATCTTATGAAAAAAGCTTAGATTAAAATCCTGTGGAWTGAAGACAAACCGTTACTATAGAAAACAAATATTACCCTAGTACTTATTTGAATGCATAATTTTTCCGTTAAAAAAAGGAAAATTATTATTAGTATATATTTGTGTGCGCCCGGCGCAAAATTAGATAGTTTGACAGATTTTCGGCTGCTTTTTGTACAATTATAGCTAATATTCCAGAATKATTTTCTAGAAAGATGGCATATTGCCATTGATATATTGTGAGTGTTTTTGAAAACGTTGTTTATGCATGTTTATGATATTCCTCTGGGAAATTAAAAAAAAACAAGGATTTACTAATGAACACCCGATTCAATATTGAGCACGACGGCCAATTAATAATATGAAAAAGTTACACATGAATAATTAGAAATGAAACTACTATTTACAGAGAACGATCACAGCAAGGATCACTGGTTGCTTAGTTAGGTTACTTTCTTTGGAGAGTAGAACAAATATGTCAAAATTTAAGTGTTCAATATTGTTTTTAGTCGAATCGGTTTAACGCACGCATATCAGAAGGTGCTAAAAAGTTTTTATGACATTGAGAAATGTGAAACAAAAGCTCGAGCTTAATTATTTTGTTTATTGTTAAAGAATATTAGGTGTTAACTGATGATTATTGTATATTTGTTGGTATAAATAGAAAAAAATGTCATCATTTTCTGGATGAAATATTCAAAATTACGTACTCGCTTGTGATTGGCTCAGGGCTAAGAATCAATTTTCGATATCTTGACTTGACTGTCCAACARTTTTATTGAAAATTTATACTCGACTGTGATTCGGTAAAAGCTATTACTTAATTTTTCATATATTAGAGTCAGTGTCCAACAATTATTGCTATCAGTCAATCGAAATCTATGCTCGTTTATGATTGGCTTAGGGCTAACATGTGTCTTGATGTAAGTATCCAATAATTGTTCATATCGTACGCCCTGGCTTTGCAGTTCGAGCCAATTGCTGTCATTCTCAAACACAATAAACATTCTTAAGATAAGTGAGAATATTTAATGTTGAAAGGTATTKCTTTCATAACATCTATAATTAATATCTAACACATATAGAGGATACGCGAACGAGTTAGAGATTGAAGTTCAACACGAGAAGATAAAATTCGCATCTCCAAGCGATCACATAATATTCTGTTTATCATATAATTATGACATATAAAAGCAAAGTATGTCGTAATGTACCTTTTTTCCTTACTTCCACTATATAGAGAAACCTCGAATGTGTTATTTTCACTAGTAAAAGTAACAGCTTTACGAAATGGGAAAATATAGGTATATTTCATAGATGTAATATGAAAAACATGTGTATTCCTCTAATATTTCATCTTTTTATATATATATATATATAAAAAAGATCATTGTTTGGCAATGAAAATGACAGTTCACCATAGGAAAAAAAATTTTTGAACTAAGTTCAGTTTAAACAGCTAATATATTACATCCTTTAATTGTAGGGCTAACTCTAAATTCAGCTTTTAAATCTGTTTTTTCAAAAGACAGCTCAAAGCTGTGGGCTGGCATGGTAAACCTAGCGCATATAAAGTCACTCTAAGATTCCATATGAACCCAACTTAACAGATTTAATACTGAATGGCATAATTAAAAAAATAAAAATAAACATCATTTTGATACGCAAATAATAGTCACATTTTATTAGTCGTAATCACAAAGAAGGCGGATTTAATTATTTCCAGAACCGCTTGATTTTGCAAATTCAACTGGACCAATTTTGGCCACCAGTCAAACATCGACAAAACGCTGACAAAAGTGTCATTGATATGCGAATGAAATCGCTTGAAAGTCTTGTGATGTCTTGCATTTGGTTATGAAGTGCTGTGGTAGCTTTTCTGTTGATGAGAAACGAAAACTACACAAAAAAAAATCATAGGAAAAGGTTAGTATTCTTAGTTACCTCCGAGAAGCGTTCTTAGTAAAAAATAAGGATTTTTTCAGCGAAAATGTCGGATTAACTAAGTGTGACTTAAGTGAACTTCACAAAAAAACATTGTTGGGATGCTTTCAGACAACATTGCAAAATTAAAGCTATAGGTTAAGTACTTAAAAACTCTAGATAATTCAATGAATGAATTTTCCACTCTGTGTTTCCATTACGCTTTATTAACTTTTTCAAAGAGAAATTTCCGACATTGAACTGGACTCTCTATTAAAAAAACGCACCATTGAATTTTATATTTTGTTTGGTATTTTTATCAAGGAAAACAAAAATATAATATGCCACATAAAAGTGATTGATGTRAGCGGGCCTGTAGATTGTTTTATGAATGAAAAATCTCATTACTGTGAGATATCATAATGATTATGAATTGGTAAGTTGAGCTGAAGCCATAACACCTGCTACACATGCTAATATTATACATGTCTACAATGCAATGTCTAGAAATAATAGTRTTATTGCTTTTTGGAATTGTTTATATTTCCATGAAGAACTTCCGTGCACATTGTTTTTGTTTTCTGTTCTTTTCTTTCTKTTCTTTAGTCTTTTTCTTGTTTCTTGTGATTCATGCTTTTACTTGATTCTCAGCGGTCAGTTCTCCCTCTTTGTGGCTCATTTTATTCCTCCTTTCTTTTCCTTCCCTCTTCTTGATCCTTTTCTATTTTTCTTCTATTTTCATTATACGTCGTCTCCTTGTACCATAATAATCGCATTTTTCAACTACTATCCGATATTTTTGTGCATAGTACAAATACCATAAAAATTTATAACACATTAAATAAAACCATTCGTCATGAAGAGTACAACCTTAAAGATTATTGGACGATGTGTAAAGACTGAAACCAAAATAAGTTTTTGACACTCGGACTTCAAGATATAAAAATAGTTTGGTAGTTCTCGACCAATCACAAGCGAGCTCAGCAATTTTGAATAGATATGAATTATATTTCGCAGTATTCGACTAATGTATGACTTCACGCTGAGCGGTCGTKCGCTTGTAAAACTTATTTCGACAATGTATATTATTTATAATACCTCCATTTAGCTCACATTTCTAAGCTTTTAAATTCATTGTTCTTGCGAGCATTTTTCCATTGTTAGAATTGGCTTAAAGTGCCCGGTATGATGGAAAGAAATCATATTAAAACCTAATTTGTGAAAAACGCTTCGAGGCTTGAAAAAGCAATTTATATGTTAAAAAGCAATAGCCATGATGCACCGTGGTCGCGGCTGTTTATCTCAGAAGATATTTACGATATCAAAGAGTGMATTCAAAAAATCATGGACCAACTTTTGTAACSACTTCAACCYKKTWAARRAMYASTGTGTTSTGATAATCATAGTTGGTTCGTTTATGGTTCTTTGAACATGTTTTGCTTGRAAATTTGGTGAGTTGATGACATTGTTTCATTTTAATGTCCTAAGTGCTGAAAGTTTTCTAAATTTTCTTTATATGTGTTGTTTCAGAAGTGTTTAGAGTAAAATGTTTTTGAGATCAGGCCTTAGATAGTTCATAGTTCATAACCATATCAACACAGGCGCCTCGGTCGGTTGAGTCATTGGTAAAATTATGTAAAACAACTGTAAAACGTTTTAGTCGGTTTAACGGTGTTTTGACATCAAGTTCTGGCGGCCATTTTGGCTGGTAKAGAAGCTAGAAATCGTTTTATTGTAAGGGCAAAAGATCTTGAAAACTAATTGTTAATCTGAAGAGATTGACAGGTTTTTAATCATGACAAAAAATGCTATTTTGCGGATTCTTTGTTTCTTTGTTTGTTTTCTTAAGGGGTGGGGAGGGGGAGATTTATTTTTTCAAAATCAAAYCTGATCATCTGCAATCACGCCAAACACTAAAAGTGTGCAGCACAAGTAAGACAAAATATTTATATAATTAGCTTCTGCCCTTGRAAACTCTCCTTTCCAGAATGACGTCACAAGGAAAATGAGATTCCTCCAGAGCCCAAAACATACTCTTGTTATTTTGACTAAAAAGGGAAAGATCTAGCAGAAAATATAGCCGGGGGTCGGGATTAGTTTATCGCAATCAATCTATCTATTTCAGGACTTTGTCAATCAATCGACTAGCAAATCCCAATTCAATCAAACACTCTTTCATTTATACTACCACTCGATAAATATGTCGATTTTTACTAAGATTGTCGCGCGACAACTACTGTTTTTCTTTTGTGAAGCTCAAATCGTTGGTAAAATCGAAGCCTGCGGAACGGTTTTAAAAATTAGTTGCACGACAATCCGGAATCGCAAGTAAAGCTTTAGACGACAAGTTACTCGTTTTGAGTTATTTTCAAGTCGTGTGCTGACCGAGAGTCGCGGATACAGTGGGCGCATTTGGTGACGCCTCCTATGAACGTTTCAGAAAATTTCTTCTTTTAAGTTTAGTAATGAGTCAAACATCCGCGTAGGATCTTTTAAGACCAATTTTATTACATACTTTACGTCTTATTTGATCTATTGGCAGCATTCTTTAGGGTATATTGTTTTTACTTTATGAAGAATATTTAAAATTCCAGCCTAATTTCGCTTCTTAGTTCTGACGTTATTTGACGTCAGACACTCTTCAGCATGATAAATTGTGCAAACACGGACTTCATTATCTGAATTTAGGACTTCTAGAAATCAAATATAAATACAGGCCTTTGGTCTCGGCAACAAGCAATGGGTAATCACTTTATATATACCGGAACCTTGATATTATGTACCAGCCAATCATTCGTCAGACTTTTACTCAATTGAAAACACAAAGAACACAGTGAATTCGTTTGACGTCTGTTGAAATTGATAAAAATGTGACATATTTGTCTTTAAACTTGATGGAAACAACATTTGTTTAAACCTCTGTACTTAATTTTACATGAATCATATGGATTCGATTTTATCAAAAGTTGAGATGAACAACAAAAACAATGATTTGTTCACAGTAATTTCATTATTTTTTTTTACTTTCCAAGTCGTGTGCTAGAATAATATGTAAAAACTAGAGTTGAATAGACAAACTAGGTTCATGAACATGTTTGTTTTTTGTCTGCATAGGACTTTTACTTAGCAAAAAAAATGTTTGGAAGTCCTTTGATGTCTAAATAATAATAAAAAATAAAAAAATCATAACATCGTGCCGTTCTTCGGCGTTCTATTTACACGTTAGACGAATCTTTTGTACTTTACGTACGGTTATGATAACGATTAAGGCTGCCGCGGTATCATATGAAGAATTCTGTATGATATGAAGAATTATTGGTTGAAGTTGAGTATGCATGATATAAAGAATTATTGATTGTATCTGGATATGATATGAAGAATTATTGGTTTAGGTACGATATATATGAAGAAGTTGAGGCTAGGTATGATATAAAGAATTATGCATGATATGAAGAATTATTGGTTGAATTTGAGGTTGATATTAAGAATTATAAATTGCAACTGTATATGATATGAAGAATTTTTGGATCAACTGGATATATTATGAAACTGAATTACACAACCCTAGGCGTACTGTGACGTCAGACTGCAACTTAAAAAAATATTGCACGATGCTTGAAGTTACATAATCAATATGTCTACAAAAGGCTGAACTAAATCGTAATACGAGAATCGGGCAACAACATCCTTCATATTTCGTCGGAAAAAATCTAACGTGAGACCAAGTTGTTGTCGGAAAAAAAATGTTTTCTAGCACCGCGGATTCATGTAGCGTGCGCCAATGCAACTCACTGCATGTATTTAAGTTTCTCCATGCCTAACAGTGGAAATAATGTTTTTTGCCATCGTAACTTGGCTCTGTGGCTACCATCACTGAGAACCGGCTAAAAATACAAACAGCGAGAATGATGAACTTTGGTCAGCGCTTTTGAATTAGTAAAAATACACAATTTGTCAGTTTGCATAATTTAAGAGTATTACAAAAAAAAAAATTATAACAGCAACAATAATAATTTTTTCTTCACGATATTATTTTGCTTCAAAAATGTCCAAAAACAACCAATCATTTTGCTGTAATCTCTTCCAGAGGAACTGATATCTAGATAAGGCACTCTGCCGATTTGGTCTTGCAACATTAAATAATTGAACGCAGAAAGATACTATCGAACTCAGCTTTTGAAATCTTCTTTTGATGGCTATCGGTTCTGATATCAAAAGTTTTTTTAAGCCATTTCAATCACTCGAGGGTTTGGATCTATATTATTGAGAATTGGGCATAGCCGCTGAAGCGAACGCCTTAGTTATTGTTCTTGTCGCTACATTTGAAGTACATTCAAGTATGTTTTCTATATTTGCAATTAAGAACAAAGAAATGGCATTTAGCTTCAAATTTACGAGATTTTAAGTGGTTTGAAGCATTGTATTTTGGCTATCTGTAGAATCTTCTGAATATATGTTATTCATTTTGCTGTTCAAAACGAAGCTAGATTTCGTTTTAGAGACGTTTCGTGTTGATTACAAATTTTTCATTTTTAGCAGCTGATTTTATGCGTTACATTACTACACCCAAAATAGCTTGTTTTTAATCTTCACGCTCAACTCATTGTCTGAGTGCGTTTTACAAGGCACAAAAAGCCTTATTAAGCCAAGGATATTCAATAATAACTGATTATGGAGTAGAATGGACAATTGAATGGAGTATTTCTGGCCGTCTAACTAACCTAACTGGCAATGAACACATAGAAATCGCTCAATCTACCGAGGCCAAATGTGTCGAGAAATCTTTAGGTTAGTTGAAAATAGCATTCATTATTGAGGTCGTTTTTGAATAACAGGAAATTATAAGAACAAACGTGAATTTTCGAGATTAATGTATATTCAACATTCTGAAGAGAACATCTCTTTGAATGGCTAATCTTGCCAAGCATGCTCATAATGACAAGAAAACGTGATATTTTCGTTTTGACTTTCAAATTTGTCTTCAAAACGTACGTGTGTTGTGAATTCCCCACCGCTAAAGAATTTTTCGGTAAATAGATAGTTTAAACATTTTGTCAAACATTTTAGCCTGTCTGACACCTTTAAATAAACTTGATTTGAAACTTCTTCTGTATTAAAATGGAAACTTCAAATGTTTCACCTTTTGGTCTTCTATTTATTCTCCCACCCCTAAGTAAACTTTATTTGATTTCCACCAATCAAAAACAGCCATGTATAGTAATTACCATAGTCAAACACTGCTAATTTCCTTTAAAAAAACTGAATTTTTCTCCATAACTGCTAAACCTTCTGGCGAATCAATTTGTCGTCACGTGACTTGCAGGTGCTGTCAAACTAAAGAAAGCCGCCGAGGACAGCTTATTCGTCTTTTGGCAGCAAAGACTAAAGTCTCATAACTCAGGCTTTTACGAAATAATTGGTTTAAAATCAAGAGTTGTAGGAATTAGCTTTAGTAATTGTTCGTACGGCGCTAACTGGAATTAATTCGGGCACAGTCTCCCATTATTAGACGGCTGGGAATTTTTGACTGTGTCTTTGGTAGTCATTGGACTCTTTTTTTTTTCAAAAGAAGAAGTGTTTCCGAACAACGTGTTCATCTTTTTTCCAAGGTTTGCTAATGATATCCGTCTTTAAAGGTCAGTGCAACTTGAGTTTGTCTACCCACTCAAGGACGTATTTCTACGACTTAATTTAAATTGTTTACTTTCTATTCTGTTCTATCTCAGGAATAATTCCTTGCGGAATAAATTAATTTTCACCCTTCGTTTATATTGTCTTGATATTGCCGAACCATAATCTATTTGATTAAGAAATTCCCCGAAAAATGTCCATAACTCCCTATATTCATGTCACCATATTAATTATTACATTTATCGTTGCAGAATTGATACTGGGTCAAGTTGTCTATTTTATTCGTGATATTCTACCAGTTTGGAAGTGATATTTGAAATTTTTCTTTGTTAATATACGCTGTCACAGCTATCGCCGGTTCGTTTGCCATCACGTCGACCGTGAATTGGACTTGGTTTACAAATCGGTCGGCCTTCATTGCCAAGGAAACAAAACCATTCGTTGGACGGTCGAACCAGGCTATCTCAGCCAAAATCAGTATACATTTATATCCGATTAATGCGAAGACTGCTTTTAGTGGTTTGGCGTTAGACTATATAGTCACGAGTACGTCTGATGTGGAGAAATTTTTAATGTCAAAACCAAAGTRAAAGATCTCTCAAAATGGGTTGAAAGGATCAACGAAAAAAAAAATCAACTGATTCATCTTCGGAAATGGACGCCAAAACACCAAACGCCGGGTCGACTAAAATTCACTCGGTTTTATTTCATCAACCTCTCATCAAACCGGCTGGATTCGCAATTTTGCAAAAAGTTAAAAAAAGATCTTATTCTGTAGGCCATTTTATGTGAAAATATCCTCGTTCAAAGCCATCAAATCAAGTCATGCTTGAAAGGAAAACTACGGATGATTCCACGACTACTGACAACGTTATTGAACTTGGAAAACTAAAGCAAGAAAATACTAACCAATGYGAGGAAAAACTGGAAATTCCTGGTTGCGCCGAAGACGACGGCAGTGAGGAAGACCTCTTAGAAAGCTTTAAACCCGTGGCATTCTATTTTTTAAAGCGAGAMAAATACCCACGACTACTATTTGTCAAGCTTGTTTCTTGGTCATATCCTTTTAGAGTCGTATTCATTTAACTGAATATTAGATTTGATACATAAATTCATACCGRCCTGTTTATCCTAAAAAGAATCGTCCGCTAGCCGTGCGTCTTTGCCCGAGCCAAAATGCCATCTAAAAATGATGTTTTTCTTCGCGCGACAAAGCTTCATCGCAGGTGAGCCAGTTCTATATACGTTTCATGGTTTTCCATTAAAATTCAAAGTGACTTATGTTGCATTTTTAACCGCAAAAAAAAAGTATCTGGTATTTTGCCCTAAAGCTTTTCTGTTAGTTTTACAACGTGAAGTCAACATTGTAAGATTAAAACTCATAAACTAAACGTCGAACTTTGGTATTTTATTATATCAAATCTCTAAAAGCAAATGAGCAAACAGCGTTCAAAACAAAAAGCAATAGACTCGCCGTTCGCCGAAAAGAAGTTGAGATTTCGTTGCGGCTGGATTATTTCACAATGGAACAGTGAATGAAAAATCCCAAAAACCTTTTGAATAAGGATAGCAATGTTTATAACTACRCTATTCGAGATATCTGTTCAACTYGACAAATACGAAACGATGATTTTGCTTTATATGTTCAAAATACATCAACACAATCTACCATTCGTGAATGGCATCTCTCATAAGTCCGTGTTTCAAATGGATGTTTTAAAAACATTCAGGTTTATTAGCAACGTCAAGCGTTGCGAATTGGCTTATACAAGACATACAGCCTGAAATTTTAATAAACGGCTCGGTCGGCAATAGACCGCGTCTAAGGATAACCAAATAAAAAAGGAACAATATAACTAAATATAACTCAAGACATTTATGTCTTATATTAAACATATTTTCTCATCAAACTTCTCTATATTAATCTAGATTTCTTTTTAGACGTTGGTCAAAAATAATCAAAATTATTCCGCAAATGGTTTTGTGTTGGTCTTTTTGCATTCGGTAAAGTATTTCCTGCTGTTTTGTCATCACATCTTTTTTTTACATTTGATTACATTTTTATTCCTATCCCAAATTTTAAATTTTAATTTTCTTACGTYTATTCCGAGATAAATAAAAAACCGCTTTGTTCGAATGGCGTTTCACTTAATATAAATATCGCTAGTTTGATGCTATCTCGTGGTTAATTGTTCAAGTTATATTGAAACTCGATTTTTATTAATTTTATTCATCCATTGCTGATGAAATGTTGTCATGGCAACTGCTCCAATATACAAGATTTAAGGAATAGCCAAAGGTTGAAGGAACAATTATATTTAAGGAACAGCATAGCATAGGCCTGACATTTAAGGGACATTATAGCATGTGTGCCTAATATTTAAGGGACAGTATAGCATGTGCATAATATTTAAGTAACAGTATAGCATACGCCCAAGGTTTATGGAACTTTATTTATAGTATGTATCTAAGATTTAAGAAACAGTATAGCATACGCCCAAGATTTAAGAATAAGTATAACATACTCCCACAATAGGATAGAATATTATTATGCCATCCGGATAAGATTATTAAAGATCAGAATTGATTACAATCAATCAAATAACGACTGAAAAAAAAAACAACAAAAAAAAAACAGCAAACTAACATATAAGAAAAAGTTTTAACTAAAGATAAGCATTTTGATTTTTAATAGAATCTTTTAAATGTGCTAATTGAAGGAGTAATGGAACTGTTTTTTCAGATAGTTATTGATACTTTATCTTGATAATAGATTGCGAGTTATCGGTGAATTGTTTACGAGTTTGCTTCAGTATTTTCAATGGATATATTCATTTGCCATATGTTGATTGATTTACCTGTTTATCCATCCATTTTCTCATTTATTTATTTATTTATTTATTTATTCATAACTTCAATTATTTGATCGTTTATTCATCCATTAAATCAACCAATAAATCATTTATTCCTACATTTATATATTGAATAATTTATCCATCGATTTATTGAAAATGTCTTCAAATAATTTTCTTTTTATTTACGTTTGGAAAAATATTATAATACCATTTTGTATTATTTTCATCTGATGATTTCGGATTGAGCTCAATAACATACTTTCAGCCTCTTAGAATCACAACAATTCATAAGAGTTTATTTCCCGATGTTTTGTAGACCTTTGTAGTTATTTATAACCCCGAGGAAAACATATTTATTTGCTTTCAAAAAAGCAATTCCTACACCTGCTTATTAGATAGGGTTTATTATTCAAGCTGATGGAGAGACTTGGCTGATAGCGGCGTGCTGAGCGTGTACTAGACAACCTTCAAAAACACATTTGTTTGGCGATTTTAATTTGGAAATTTCACGTGGAGCTCCATTTGGCTGTTATATAAGACTCCTTTTAAACGCCGACAATTTAGAATTTGGAGTTCAATACCATTGTTCTTTTGTGTTATTTTCGATATTATATTAATATTTATTGATGTGTAATTATTTGAATGATAGTATACAGTCATTTGCAAAAATTCTGACCGCTAACGTATGTTATTTTGGGTGTSTGATGGGTAATTTGCTACCAAAAGCGCSAAAAAGGACGTACCAGCAAAATATTGTGGGTTAGCCGAGAGAAATTATAGGAATTCGCGTAATTAATAAAAATTCGCACGATTACTAAAGGTGTTTTTTATGGTTTTAGAGTGAAGCCATTACAGTGAGATCACTTAAACGTGTGAAACAAAATTTGTCTACAAAAGTGTGATAGTCAAATAGACAAAAAAAAATAAATAAATAAATAAATAAATAAAATAAAATAATAAAGCAGTCAGCATACTAGTGTAATATCTATTTCACGGGAATCCTACTTCACTCTACCGTTTGCACTCGAGCACTGTTACGAATATTATTATTTTTTATTTGCTAGTGTTATTATTAATATTATTATTATCATCATTATTATTATTATTATTATTATTATTATTATTATTATTATTATTATATTTTTATTCTTATTGGCGTAATCATCAGCGTATTCATCAGCATCATAATTATCATCATCATTATTCTTTTTTATAAAAACTATAATCATCACCTTTTAATTATCTAATATATATAAAGCGAAAAAGAACAAGAACGCTTGTCCTTTATTGAAAAATATTTTATCAAAAAGGCAAAACACTAAATTTATACAACTGACGACTTTCAGCGCTGAAATCATTCCACCAAGACTTAAACCAAAACGCTCTTCATATTTACTTTACATTTCGTATTTCGACCACCTCTCTCACGTGACTGCATCAAAACTTAGTGCCTCTCATTAGATATCAAAGAATGCGACTCTTCAGTCACCAAACACAAAACACGTTGGGTTCTAGATCGGTTTGTCCAGATGTTTGCGGCTTACCAGAACGTTAAACGAACTCTTCAATATCATGGGCTCGCTCACAATCAAATGCATTGCCTAGCCGATTAGATAGGTTGTAAAAAAAATCCTCTCTCAGACATTCAGACACATTGAAAAATATGACTTTAATTAGTTGGCTATAACGCGTAGGTCTATATTTCTTTGTATTGATGGTTTGTGAGTGGAAAATGTTTCCTTAAGGACTCTCGAATACATGCAAAGTACCTCAGAATTGACGTTGATTGAGAGGGGAAKGGAAAGGCTGAAATGCTATAAATTATTCAAGATATATATGAATTAAAATTACGGAACGTTTTTAAATATTAGGGTAATWGTTTTGACGCTTTTAGGACGTGCGCATAATTATATTTTTTTATTGTTATCTTTATTGAATATTTCTGTTTAACGTTCATTATATACCTGGTTGCAAAAACGTTGGAATAGAAAATTTGTACTTTGTAAAACAACAATTTGATAAATATGCAAAACACTCCGACGCGAAGGCTTTCTTTCTTTTGTCATTTTAATGTTTCCTTTTTACATAAGTGGKTATGCTCTATTTCACTATGACAACGTTGCAAAAATTAGGCCTATCTAWAATTACCAATTTTCAGTGTTAATTTTTCGATGGAGTTATGGTCGTTTAAATGTATAAATATAAAGTGTATAGCTGATTATGCTTCATTTGCTGTTAATTCTGTATTCAGAAAAGATTACTTTCTTTCGCAATCAATTATTATACAATTCCGCTCTTTTAAGTTGTTATGCATTCGGYCGAACCTCTCTTTAACGATCACACTCCGTTAAGCGGCCACTCATGAATCATTTTCATATATATTTACTGTAAACGTCAACCTCTATAAAGCGGTCACCTGGTCTTTTCTCAAGGTGGCCGCTTAATGGAGGTTCGACTGTATTTTATACGATCTTCAAGTAATAGTCTGACCTATGTAGACGTTTTCCTTTCCAAGTTATAAAATTGCATTCAGTTTAAGATGTTTATATCAATGCTCAATATCTAATATTATTTTATTATTCATATAWATCTTTATCAATTATGAATTACCACATTCATTTGATCATCTTCCTTGACTTTCCTCAAATATTTTGAACGAATAAGTATTTTTGTAATCCTTTGTAACTGCGTCACKCTTGGACTCTACGAYCCATTCGATCCAGATTGCTTAACACAAAGATGTCAAATACTGGAGAARATAGAGCGAGCAATCTATGCTTTCTTTGTGGTGGAAATGCTGTGCAAGTGGATAGCGATGGGGATCTTTGGGAAACTTGGATACTTATCTGATAACTGGAATAAAYTGGATTGTTTCATCGTCGCGGCAGGGTAAGATATATTACTATTTGAGACAGGCATAAATGTGCGTATTACTTTAAAAATCCTTACAACGGAACCACAATTCAGTGAACTTACGACTAGATAATATATAAGTATTTCCGACAACATGACAATTGAACCATGCATTGTGACGGACACAAAGTCTTAGATAACTTTACTAGGAGTTTGCGACGTCCTTACGATCCACTAACGTCGACAGCCTTCCGATGTACTAACGACTGTCATACGAAGAACTAACGACAACTTAACGATACAACTGACACTGGTGCGAAACGCACTGCGCATGTCCACAGMTTTCCCGCTGAAATCTGCCTAATTTCCTTTGTAAAGCGATTTTTGTGAAAGTTTTTTACAATTTATAAGCTCGTTCACCGATATATAAGATTCRTATTTCCATCAATCATTGTTCATGATAGGTCCTTTTAGTATGTAGTTTCTATTTTTATCTTGTCATTTCTATTTTGAGAAAATGAGGTTTTTCGTAGTGTTTTCTGTGTTGTCGCTGTAAATCGCCAGAGGCGCTCTGTTTAAAGATTTCAAGACGCGAGCGCTCACTGGCGGGAAAGCTGTGGGCATGCGCAATGCGTTKTTCACCAGTGTCACTGACRACTGGGATTTTTTTGGTCATGTGATTGAAAACTTTAKAATTTCAAAATCATGATCGATGTTCTCCATTTTTTCTCAGGACATTTGAGTTATTTTACGATAAAGGCAAATACATGACAGCCGTTCGCGCCATTCGTGTCTTACGACCTCTACGAGCTATCAATCGAGTACCAAGTAAGTTATTCAATTGAAACCCCGGTCCATGCAACCCCCGGAGACGGACGGGGAATTAACACACTAAAGCCGAGGATTTAACACTGTTTTAACAGAACAATCAACGGGACGTTGGGGGAATTAACATTTAAATCAAAGGAGATGGTCTATTTAGGTTTCATTTGGCCTCCAAGGGCCAGGAAAGCSGGGATTTAAACGTTGTTAAAGTGTCAATTCCCCTGGTATTATACGGGARTTGGGAGGCTGTGCATCACCATGCCTACTGCCACGTCACCAATGTTTTCAAAAATCTTATTTCCGCTGAAATGATTTTTTAAATTTCTCGCGCAGGTATACGAATTCTCGTCACTCTACTTCTTGACACACTACCGATGCTTGGCAATGTACTTGCCATGTGTTCACTCATCTTTAGTATTTTTGGGATTGTTGGAGTTCAAATGTGGCAAGGTTTGCTAAGGAATCGATGCATGCTCGAATTGCCTGACAACATTTCTCCACAAAGGTATGGACTTACTACTGCGGCGAGTGGAAACTTTTACTAAGTAGTCTGGGGCCAGGTTGTTCAAAGCCCGATTAGCGCTAATCCTGGGTTAACTCTTAGAAAACCTATGGAGTTAACCCTGGATTAACGCTAATCGGGCTTTGAACAACCCGGCCCTGGTATCCTGGTGCCGCGTGCTATAAGCTGACTTATAATATTTATTCATTTTTGCCGCGTTTTAAGAGGAGAGTTGTTTTAAAGAGATATGTTCATAAATATGAAAATGAGTGGCGGCCATTTTGAAAAAAGGCTATTTTTAACAGGTTTCTATCATTGCACGCTCAATGGTGGTCTCTCATCAATGCAAAGGCTTTACTGTTATCTTTAATAACGAGACCTGTGAASGAGACTACAACTTAATAATCAAATCTATTTTCACAGATAAAAATAAAGTTAAAAGAGGCGAAAGACTATTCGAAATACATAAAAAAGAACATTGTCTCGCTCTTTTTCATTACTTTACCGTAATTTACCTWTATTCCAGTCTAAGTATTTAAAYATTGCTCATACGCGCTCATATATTTCCTTACTAAATCTATTCTCYGTCTAGATATAACCTAAGCTCATACTACACTCCATCCAAGGGCGGCGATTTAGTTTGTTCGCTGCCGAAGAACAACGGCATGAAGAGATGTACAAAAGAATGGCTGGACCCTTACCGTATCGACGGCCGAGAATGCTTGTTGGATTATCGTTCGTATCTTAACATAACATCACAATCAAGTAACACTAATTCCTGCGTAAATTGGAACCAGTACTATTCAAAATGTGGTAACGCTGGCGAAAACCCCGACCATGATACCATCTCATTCGATAACATACTTATAGCTTGGGTAGCCATCTTTCAGGTATGCATGGTTCACCTTTTAGTGCATGTTGGGTTAGTGAGCGAGTGGGTGAGGGAGRGAGGATGTTTGGGTCTGKATCGGCCCCTTAATATAATCTCCGCCCCTGGCCATTATTGAGTGAGAGAAGACGTGCATATTATAATGGTGATGGTGATGATGATGATGACGATGATGACGAAGATTGTGATGATGATGATGATGATGTTGCAGGGATCTGGTTAGGGACCTGAAATGTCCGTTTTTTAAAAGCCGTTTGTCTTCTGTCGGTACAGCTAAAATAATCATCAAACAAGCTATGAGCTCAATATTAGACCACATAATGAATAATGGCGCTTGATWATGATTACGATGGTTACTTATGATAACGACTCTATCATTGTTTGTTTTACGACAATTCTCTTGTTTTGGTTTCATGTCTTGACAGGTCATAACTCTGGAAGGATGGTCTGATATCATGTACTACATTCAAGATGCAAACAGTCCTTGGGATTTTATCTATTTTGTAGTTTTAATTGTGGTAAGCTTTTCATTGTTTCATTAGCAAATGTCGACATCGCAGTAATAAAAATGTTCCAATAGTTTCCTTCATGGTTACCTGCTATCTTGAAAGGTAGCCGTGTCTTTACATCAAAGCGAAACAACCGCTGAGCGTGCAATTATAGAAACCTGTGAATAATTGTCAGTAGGTGTGAAAGAAGGTTTCTATCATTGCACGTTCAACGGTTGTCTCGCTTCGATGCAAAGGCATGGCTACATTTCAAGATGGCGCAGGGAACCGTTCAAAAGTCTATTCGTTGTTCGTTCCTACACATTGAAAAAGATTACAGTTTTGCAGAAAGATGTCATAAGAGCGTTCCATGAAAACTTATACCTTAAGTTTTATTCTCTCTTGTTTTATAGATTGGATCGTACTTTATGACCAATCTCTGTCTCGTTGTCATAACAACACAATTTCAAGAAACAAAGCAAAGGGAGAATGACTTAATGCGTCAAAGTCGGCGAAAACACGCCGCTAGCACCAGCACTATAGCAAGCAGTCGCTTTGGACGCGATGGATGCTGGGTAGAAATACTTAAGTACATTGCGCATGTCTTTAGAAGGACTAAGCGCCGCTGGGGAAGAACRTTAAATATCAAATGCTGCCGGCCAGCAACTCATAAAACACGTGTTAGTAAGAAACGTAAACGAAGGAAAAAGAAACTTGTTTATCATCACCATCACCATCAYCATCATTATCATCATTTTCATCATCACGTCCATTGTCCAGGACACTGTCAACACGCAGAGGGTTACTGTCCAGTCCCCGACGGCCGATACACACCAAACACTTCTAATGCAGACTTAAATAGTAGCTTATGTCAACAAGCTGAAATACCTGTTGGTAACACTTTAACTGTTCCTGGGCAAATTCCAGTTAATGGTACCTTACAGGGGGAGGGAAGAGACAGTAATGGCTACGCTGTCGATCTTCCTGGGACGGTACCAAATGTCTCCATAGTTACGGGATCTGCGTGTTCAATACGACCTTCTTCGGCGTCTAAGGTGGCGGGAGAAATGRTCACCACGGCAACAGCGGCTGTCAACATCAATGGTCAGTCTGCATCATCTGACGTAGCTGCACATTCCTTCGTGTCAGCGGCATCTCTCACTAGCGCAGCCGCAACGGCGACAGCAAGTATTGCGGCGACGTCTGTCATTCAAAATGCTTGCGAATGCGCAGTAGGACATGCTTCTGGCGATAAAGGTGTAGTCGCCGAGGAGTTTGAGTCCGAGTCTGTTTATGAAGGAGAGGAGTCTGAAACCGACTATTCTGATGATGAAATGAACAAAGACAAGCAAAAAATGACGGCGTTCTCAAAATTTCGTCATGCTTTGCGGGATTGGGTGGAAGGCAAAATGTTCATGTACTTTATTATGGGAGCCATCTTCATCAATACGCTTAGTATGGGAATTGAATTTTACGGACAGGTACGTAGTAATAGTTGTCTTAGTAGTATAAACAACCCTCGCTATTCTTCGTTTTCACTATACGTCACAGCGGCCATCTTGGTTGAACTTTAACAAAGGATTTCTCATTAGTATCTATTGTTCATTCCTCCAACATGGCCGCCGGTCTTTTATCTTTTGAATCTCATGGGAATGGTTGAAAACGATCAATAACGGACATCTTTTGGACCGTAATTACATGACCACTATAGCGAGTGTCCGCTGTGATATATTTGGAAAGGGATTTATAAAGTGTTCGTAAGTAATCGAGTGACGGCGTAATGACGGGGTGTCCATAATAATGATGTTGCGTAAAGCGAAAGTTGACGGTATCTCAGTAATTGAAATTCATTTTTTTTAACTCTCGATTATACACGTGACTTGCGTTTTTGTGGAGTTTACGTTAAGTCATAAAGCGATTACTTTTGAGCAGATCCGTAGATTCAGAAACTTAACGAAACTTTTTRCTCGCTTTCCTTCTCTGCAGCCTCAGGAAATGACTGACGTGCTGGAAATCCTGAACTACATCTTTACTGGGATTTTTGCACTTGAAATGCTTGTCAAACTGATAGCACTTGGTCTGTACGGTTATATCAAGGACGCCTTCAACTTGTTTGACGGTGCTATTGTCATTGTTAGGTGAGTATGKTAACGTCCATAGACGCTTTGTGAGCGCTTAGACTGCGACAGGCACGATCGATTTCCATAATTATAGACTGTAGGTTTTTGATTCTGAAAAATCAGTAAAAGACGCTGACAGAATGATCACTTATTCTTGCGCACTCACGAAGGATCTCACAAACKTTTTCAAAACCTATGAAGTGCTTTCGTAGCGTTTTTTCGCATTYTTGTTCTTCATCAATATAAATCCTTTTTTCACTAATAATAATTTGTACAAAATCATCCTTAAAGTCGTTCCATACATTCTTTTATTARTATTCGTAATTCGTTTTCTGTTTTTTTTTTTTATTCCTTATAGTATTGTTGAATTGTTTGGTGATGGTAACAACAACATTTCYGTTCTGCGATCWTTTCGCCTGCTTCGGATCTTCAAAATCGTTCGTTTTCTACCAGCTTTAAAACGTCAACTCCTCGTCATGATACACACTCTCGACAACGTTGTGACTTTTCTTGCTCTGCTTGGAATCTTTATATTCACTGCAAGCATTCTTGGTATGAACCTTTTTGGCGGGAAATACAGYTTTCCGAACGATAAGGGAGTCATGGTGAAATCACGTGCCAACTTTGACGATCTTTTTTGGGCGCTTGTCACCGTATTTCAGGTATGTTTTGGAAAGCTTAAGGGACGTTTATATATGTGTTTTTGCTCTGTCCCGTAATTTTTATAATTTAAAACATGAGAATTCCCCAACTTTACTTTCTTTTAAAAAGCCTACATCAGAAACGTCATCGACGAAGGAATGTGCAGATTCGAAAACGTGAYGTTCTCGTCCTCGAAAACCTCGCTCKTTCTTTAATAAGCTCTTTATTTAGAGACTAATGTGTTTCTTTGAATTCCGTTTTATAAAAGGAAAGACTGCCAGACGCCTCTCTTCTTAAAATAAACTGCGAGGCTTTTCYACTTAATTATCCTTTAATTCCTGCATTTTCTCATTAACTCTAACAACTTTAAACATTTCTCTGGTRCTCGAAGACGAAAACACTTCAAAAACCACTTAAATGGAAGCACTAATCCTTTAAGTTCCACGTACACTTAGCTCTGTATTATAGACTTATGGTTTAATTAGGATTATAACATCCAGAAAAACACGAAATATAGTTAATGATGCTCTAAAATATTTATCTGTACTTTCCCAGTATTAATTTTTAATTTTCCTTTGAACAATAATAGTTTTTTTTAACATACGCAATAAATAGTACGAGCTATTACTATTTTGAACCCAATTTCCCTTTTTCATTTCGGTAGATATTGACCCAGGAGGACTGGAACGTGGTCATGGTAGAYGGCATGCGTGCAACAGGCAAATGGGCGGCACTTTACTTCATTCTTCTTATGACAATTGGAAATTACATTCTCTTTAACCTGCTAGTCGCCATATTGGTCGAAGGATTTGCGAACCAGCCGGTAAGAACTTTGCTTCATGGTTTTTTTTTTGCGAATGGAAAATGGCTTCAGAATTTATTCATTTTTTACTCAATATTTACCAAAAACGTCTGTATTTAGGACAAAAACGGAAGTACTGCAACTATTAGACARTCAGCGGTTGTTCTTAGCAAAACAGAGTACAACCAATTAGCAAAGAGAACSGAATACCCAATGGACCAATCAGCAACCAAGTTCTATGGYGGAAGTAAACCACGAGTGTGTATCAGTCCCACTCCGTCAATCTTTTATGTCGACCAATTGCAATGTACTGCTTACAGTGGCTGTGTCGGTGAAAACCCGAAAAGTCCACGAAGATCATCGATGCCCAATCTTCCAAAGAATCGCTACGCCGATGTTACCCCGAGTAGAAGCTGTTTGTCRCCGAGTCCTTCACGAAAGATTGGCTTTTTYCTGAAYGATAGAAATGAAGTATTTATGCACAGTCTCAAACGGTCTGATACCCAAGARCAGAAGACTGGGATGGAGATCGTAGCTTCAAATGTAGGCTTTTGTTGTATTTAAACCATATGTTTTGGAMTTTTATATTGTCCTTYATTTGTAAAATATCACTTTTCTATCATTTTGTTTGAAAGAAAAAGCAAGGAAGCAGTGCTACAGCAACTTCGTCATCTTCTTGTTGTGCTAAGCGTGTGGATTGGTCGTTGTATATCTTTTCACCAGAAAATAGGTATCGAATTGTGAAGCTAAATGTACTGCGAAGAGGCATTATAAAATAACTTTCATATTACGCGCGCTCTGATTGGCCAAAAACCCGTGTTTGATGAGAGCATAATACACGCTCGCGTCATTTTTTTTTTCTCGGCTTTTTTTTGAGCGCTTGTTATTTTATAAAAGCAATAAAAAACAGTTTCTCTCGTGTTCTCCCCTCATCCCGCGTGTTTTTATCAGAGTATAATACACGGAAAACTGTTTTTTATTCCTTAAATGTACAGCAACGCCATTTTGTGCAGCAAAGCATGATGGGAATTGTAGTCATACCACTTTTTATAAAAAAAAATCTCCCAAAAAGCCGTAATAATGGTTTCTTTGTTGAAACGGCTTAACGTCTTCTACTTTTGCTTAGAAGTACCAAAAACCGATTAGTTCGACTTTTTCACAGAATATTACAAAGTTCCAGCACGACCACTCCCATCATGTCTCGTCCTGCGCAAAATGGCGTTCCTGGACATTTCCTATGAAAAAGCAACGTTGTAAAAAATACTTAATAAATACTTTGAACTGAATAAACTAACCACCATTATTCTTTTTTAGCTTCCGTAAATGGAACGTTGCCTTGTACAAGAACAAATGGTTCGATCGTATTGTTCTTGTATTCATATTGCTCAATTGTGTGGTAATGGCAATGGAAAACCCGTCAGTCAAGGATGATTCTACGGTAACTACTAGTTAACACATTGCAGAGGGTCCTGCGTGGGTATAGTGGGGTGGGGGAGAAGGGCTGGTTTGATATGCCTTTTGCAGTTGAAAATCGGGACTTTACCACTGAAATGGGAGTGGGATTTTGATTTGAATATGGATTTGACTTAATTTATCAACCACAGTTTGGTTGTTGTCAGACTATAGGAATAGAACGCCTCAGTCAGGACCCTCTTCTGCGAATATAAAAAGAATATTATTCATCATTATTCATCATGAAATCCCATTGAAAGCACTCGTTTCTCCAATGTAAACATACTTGTTTTCTTTTACAGGAACGACAAGCCATTGATATCTGTATGTACATCTTCCTGGGTATTTTTACGTTGGAAATGCTGATTAAGGTATTATAATCCACTTTTTGGGACGATTACCAGGATTACTGTAGTTCCTAGTGTAAGCAGCGATAGGAATAACGTGCCCATCCCTACAGGCATTCTTGTAGAGGCGTTAAAGAGGAGCAATTTTGGTCATCTTTGACTAGAATCAATGCCTTAATTGTTTTTTTTTCTATTTCTAACTCAAAAGCAAAGATAATTTCATGCTTTATAATGGGGTACGTAATTCCAATGAGTTTATACAATTTTCATGGGTCAGTTCAGATCGACGATACAGATTCTAACAGCCACTCAGTATCGTGTATTATACAATTGCAAAGCATGCTCAATTGCAATCATTTGGATGACAAGAATTGATTGATATTTCAGATAATTGCAATGGGATTCTGGGTAGGTGAAGGAGCGTACCTGCGCAGTGGATGGAACGTCATGGATGGATTCTTGGTCGTCATATCCTGGGTTGACGTCATTGTCACGCTATCCACTGATAAAGAGAACCGAATTCTGGGAGTTCTGAGAGTTTTCCGGGCACTGAGAACATTACGGCCACTCAGGTATTTWGTAAATCCTCAAGAAATCAGTAGTAACMYCCTCACGCCACTCCGCTGTCATTAGCGCAAACCAACTAAGAAGTGCTAGTTCTAAGTTCAGTCGAACAATCGACATAAAGTTGCCTAACCACAGTTTCCCGATGATGGCATAAAAATATAGAAACTATTGAAGACGAATCAACTATATATCAATGTGTTTATCTTACAGAGTAATTAGTAGAGCACCTGGCATCAAGATTGTGGTGGAGACCCTTATTTCGTCTCTGAAGCCAATTGGTAACATTGTCCTTATAGCAGCAACATTCTTTATGATATTCGGGATCCTTGGAGTACAGGTAAGCGGAATTTTTCTTCCAGCAATACGTTTGGTTAAATTACAAGCAGGCGCCCGGCGGAGATGATATATATTTCACTTTTGAAYTGCTCCCTGTTCATTGAGTTTAGTGAGCTATACTTGCTATAAAAAAACATAACTAATACTGATATTTTTTCAAGCTCTTCAAAGGMAAGTTTTATTACTGTGATGGGATAAGCTTAGAAGTGGACACAAGGCAGCAATGTGAGGCTAACGGCGGTTCTTGGAAGAACAAAGAATACAACTTTGACAATTTGGCCAAGGTATGAGTGTKAAATATGACTAATATCGTAAACTTTCAGGTGGGGATATGACATTAAAAACAATATATAGATAGGCAAACAACAGTTGTTAATACATAATATTTGTATAGATTGTAACACGTGATTATTTTAATACATATCAAATAAGTGAGGCCCGTTCCAAATGGCGAACTTCTCATGAGTTCCATTCAAAGGGAACCCGGTTAAAAGAGAAAGGACTGATGTTCAAATAACACTGGAGGATATTCTCAGGCGCGCAAAGCATTGTGGTTGACTATGATTCTTTGGGTGTAAGCTACTATTTCCGTTTTTTCTCAGGCCTTGCTAACACTGTTCGTCTTCGCTACCAAAGATGGTTGGGTCTCCATAATGCATGATGGGATTGACGCTGTTGGCATTGACAAACAGGTAGAGTCACGTGTGCGTAGTCAAGGCTACACATCAGAATGAACATTATATAACCACTTCAATTAGTCTCCTTTGGCTTTTCCAACCAAATCCTTTTCGTCCTCCCCATTCTCCGCTCGGCCTTCCCAGTCTCCTTAGGGCCGCTACGCAGGCTACATCTTACTTGTTTTGTTCTCTTACAGCCAAAAGAAAACTACGCCAGAGTGAACGTCCTGTATTTCGTTGCGTTTCTGCTATTAGCGGGYTTTGTGGTTCTCAATATGTTGGTTGGTGTAGTAGTTGAGAACTTCAAAAAATGTCGAGACTTGATTGAGATGGAGCGAGATGAAGAGGAGAAGCAAAGGGAAAAGGATGAAAAGAAGAAGGAAAGTAAGTCGACAGTTTRGATTAGAACAATATGCTTTAAAACAGCCTTTTATAGYAGTCAAAARTTAGCAAAAACGGTTAAGGAAACGTATGCCTTTTCGYGCGTSTGAAAGCCATATTCAGCRGATCTCTCAGTCGTTCGCTATGCTCACTYTGGAGAGACATTTTTAAAATTCAAAGATAAAATCTGCGCTCCCGTGTAATATCCTCTATGTCAGTGTTGGTATAGTTACAACCCTTTTACAATTCAACCGCTACACTTTGTGTTATTAAGGGTTAACAAAAAACATTATTATTATACACTGGAAAAAATCTCGCACTGTTGATTTACATCGAGTTTTCCAGTGATATCGCATTTTCGTGTCTTCTAGTGACAATTACGCTTGAACTATATATGTTTCCCATTCGATGTGTTCACTTTTTCAAAAAATACCTTTCATTTTTTTAGAGGAATGCCGGGAAGGAGACGAAGCAAGTACTCACTACTCCCGTCATCGTCGCTTCATCTATCATACCGTCACGCATGCGTACTTTGATCTTGGCATTGCTGTCACGATTGGTCTTAACGTCATTTGTATGGCATTAGAGCATTATGATCAGCCYAAGGGCCTGGGAGATTTCCTGCAGTCTGCCAACTATGTATTTACAGCGATTTTTATCTTGGAAGCCATTTTGAAAATCTATGCTCTTGGAGTTAAGAGATACTTTAGTGATAGGTACGTCAACGAATGATTTCAATCGTATTAACCTGTTTTTGTAAGTTTTGGAATGGTATTTGTATTAATTTTAATGTTATTTTATATAGATGGAACCATTTAGATTTGGTGATMGTTATTCTGTCAATCGCTGGTATCATTCTGGAAGAGATGAATAATGATCTTCCCATCAATCCAACTATCATACGGGTCATGAGAGTCTTACGTATTGCTCGAGGTAAATACCACAGGCAGCCCAATAATTGAGCTCAAATACATCACACTAACCACACGTAGTCCAAGCATTTAGTATAAATACACCACGGGCAGCTCATTGAATACATCACAGGTAGCCCAATGATAGTTTCGTTGAATCAATGCCAAAGCCTATGGTACCGTGGCATCGTTGAACAATTACCGGTATAGCACAGACAAAGTAAAGGATTTCAAAACACACATTGAGTACAAGAAAACCCAGCAGAAAGTAGTTATAGTAAACCACTGGTAGGCATAAATAAGGCATAAATAATAAGATTAAATAAGGCATAAATAATCAATTCTTTCATGTTATTTTTTAAATTACTCTCCAGTTCTGAAGCTACTGAAAACGGCTGAAGGAATTCGAAAGCTTTTAGACACCGTRCTTCAAGCCCTCCCTCAGGTATGATACAAGCAGCGAGTGTAGACGTTTTCTTGAAAGTGTTTTTTTAATAAACTGTTTCAACTATCTTTCTATTCAGGTTGGCAATCTTGGTATGCTCTTCTTATTGCTCTTCTTTATATTTGCTGCCTTAGGAATTGAACTTTTCGGAGGAATAGGTAGGTGTTCGCTATCAAAATTGTTTTTAAGGTAGCCAAAGCCTATTTCTTGTTACCATGGTCACCGTTTCTAAGCTAACGAAATGTTAACTTTTTCCACGGTAACCAAAGTATCATTATTTCTCTCTTTAGATTGTAAGAACTTGGAATGCGAAGGAATGAACGAGCATGCGCACTTCCAGCGATTTGATATTGCTATGCTGACGTTGTTTAGGATTTCMACTGGGGACAACTGGAACGGCATTCTTAAGGTATGTGCGTAGCTTTAATAAGATTTCCGCCATCTTGATATTTTCACCAATACCATAATGCACTTCGCCAATGTGCACATGACGTCATTATGCTAGGCGACCAATCACGTTTCGTGTTTTTACCCTAGGACACCATCAATAAGAAGATGTGTGAATCCAATCCTGAAGTAGACTGTAACGTACTAGAACACGTTGCACCGATCTACTTTGCCATGTTTGTACTGGCAACACAGTTTGTTCTGCTTAACGTGGTCGTAGCAGTTCTCATGAAGCACTTAGAGGACGCAAAAGACGACGATAGCAGTAGTAGTGGTGCTAGGGAGTCTATCACATCTGGAGAAAGGGACTCAAATTATAAGGACTTCAACGGTGGTAGAGGAGYTGTRTCCCTAGATGTACCTCAAATGGAGAGAGAGGTCAAGTCATCTTCTGACGATGACACCGAAAATAAACAAATCACGACCGCAGAGATTAATGGGATACAAAATGGCGGCAATAATGTGCCTTCAGTGGCCATTAACGGCGAAGATTTGAATTCTGACTCTGAGTACAGCACAACATCGCCATTGCCAAGMGTTAAATCGAAAGGAAGGAAGATTAACATGTTAAGCCGTTCCGTGCCGACTTTGAGGCCAGCATTACGAACGCGTAATCGATCTTCATCAGCCGCYCCAAGGATAGCGAAAGAAGTCAGTAGAAGTGGATCACTAGTTAAACTAAGCCCTATTTTAGGAAGACTATCCAARTCAAACCGGTATGAYGACTCTGATGAACTGGTCAGTCATGTTAGTCCAGTTTATGAATTTACAGCAATGACAAACGAGGCGTCTGAACATGACGTCAGTCCCGAAAGGGAAAAGCCACCACTCTCGCCCAGGGCTCCTCTTTATAAAATGAGTCAAGATAGTGATTTGTACGATAGTGCCCTGGAAGGTGATCATGGCGGATCCACCGGAAGTGTTCGGCGCATTCCCAAACTTTCCCAGGCCTCACGGCCGTCATTGARATCCACACAATCGACGTCTACGTCTTCAAGTGGTGACGATGAACGTTTTCATCTTCCWAAGCGGTTTAAAGGCAAGCATACCGCGTGGGGGAGYCCCWGCGTGGAGGACAAGCAACMAAAGAGTGAATCATCTAAGCAATCAAGTAGCAACGAACCTCAGGTGCCAAAAAGCGCTCCTTTGGCTTCTGATAAACGAAAAAATGTCGACACAGTAGAATTGACTCATCGCAGTTTATCAACTGGTTCAATGCCAGAAAAGAAAATGAAGAAACACTACAAGGAGCAAAGCTATGTTTAATTGAGCACGGGAAGYTCGACCATAATGAATTAATGTATCACAGGAAGCCCCGAACTGCATTGTGGGGTTAAACACAGGAAACCCGAGCTGCAATGTAGATTGAACACAGGAAACCCGGTTTGGATGGCTTCGGTGTGTCCATTATTTGATTTAAACGATTTAGTCGTCTTTTTAGCATTAATTTGTGGTTTTTAGAAGGTCAGTTCAACAAATAATGATGCTTTGAACGGCATTTAGATGAAACCTACCTTTTTGATGTAAAATGTTCCGTCGAAAAAAGTTAAAATCATAATATCGGAAATGTTATTTAAATTTTTTATGAAATTTCAAAGTCATAGGTACTAGTTTTCGATTGTAGTTTTAATGTTATGGAGTCTAAACAGTTGTATTGAATATCAAGAGTATATTTATGTGACGTGAAAATGGCCGTCGTCGGACACAACAAAATCGCAGCCTTGCGGTGGATAATTTTATATTTGAGGTATAATTTATTCTGAGAAAATCTGAGATATTTACTGCACTCCTAGGGAAACGGATCGTAGGACATAATTACGACCAAAATATCAAGTTCTTTTTATCATTAACTTACTGAGTTAATCAAGATAAGGCGTCATTTTAAGTGTTTAAGACCATTTGCATGATGGGTAACTTAACTACAACTACCAGAATGCCTTGCGCATTTTCGTTGTTAGAAAAAATTCTCAATCCGCGTACGTGTTTTGGAAATTAGTAAAACAGTTGGGACTAATAACATAAGGAAAGAAAGTGGCCAAAGCATTCTGGTAATTGTAGTTAATGAATCCATAACGCAAATCGACTATTGACTGAGAACTATTATTCAACGCTAGCTCCTTATTTGGTAGCTGTATTCCATATATGGAATTGATTCTTTTTTTAGGTCCTACAGTAGTAAACGGAACGGAGAAATTCAGACTTTGAACGTATTGCCAAACGTATTCGTTGACATTCGTGAATATTWTCTCAGTCCATACGTAAACGATTAACGTCGATCGGATCTACGCTTTCTCTTGTTGGAAGCGTTTACTGGAATCGGCGGCGATCGAGTTAATACTCGTTGAAGCGTGCGCCGTTATTTTGAGCTTTCACTCATGTTAGCGCCTTATCAAAAGATTAGAACAAACGCAGGAAAACCATGAAATAAATTCAAACTAAATACTAAAAAATAGCCGCTATTTAGAGACAATTGTCAATTGTCAATTTGTCTCTAAGTAGCCGCTATTTGTTAGTATTTAGTTTGATTTTATTTCATGGTTTTCCTGCGTTTGCTCTAACTGATGTAGTTATTTTATGTTATTGATTCACTTGTGTTCATGTACATAGTGAAATAAGCACTTTGTAGGAAAACACTGAATTACAGGAATTAGATTGGGAWACCTGGATTTTACTGACGTCAATCCCAGAATGCTGCAGGCGGCGTTCATGACGTCATTTATGCTTGACATGTGAATTTTAATTTTAATTTTTAAATGTAAGAGTTACTGAAGTCAAAGCCATTGACAATAATGATAAAYTTCTGTTAATTCATGTAGTTTAATTAATATAATTAGAATTTCTTCAAAGGATATAACACTTTAATCGAAAAAACGCGCGTGTAAGGATCAAAAATATCTATAA